GTCTATGTATACCATTGGCTGGCGATACTAGCATATATATATATATATATATATATATATATATATATATATATATCAGATTTCGGCGATACTACTCAATCTATACAAGGCTCGATTCTTATCTATCAGCTCATACAAACAGACAAATACTATTATCCTTGTTGGGCAGATCCCAACTATCGCTTGCCATTTTATTATGAAGCAGATGCATGTGTAAAATATGAAAGCAAGCACTATTCTTATAAAATAAATAATAAATGTACCTCTGATAACATTTCCGTTCGCTTCACAAAGTGTTAAATATATTTTTTTACAGGATGGGACCCTTCAAAACTTCATTAAATTAAATAGTTAAGTAACCCTTTAAGAACTTTAAATCATCTGAAGCTGAACATTGAGTGGCCCAGATGGAAAAGCATTTGCGTGAGTTGTCATTTAATTTTTCACTCCAACAAAATCCTTTTTTCCTAAAAAAATTTAAAGTCTTTTAATGTATTGATGGGCCTCGATTTGGGTCCAGTCCAAAAGATTTAATTTAATTTATCACATAAAAGTTTCTCCTTTTAAGTGCCTTCATATTAATATTTAAGTTTATCTTTTAAAGAGTACAATCGATCAGTTAGGCACCAAAGTAAATAGGAAGAAATCTAGGTGGAATTTAGGCGATGTGAAAATAATTTCTGCTCTATGAATTTTGGGTTTACTGATCTATTTGGTAACAAAAGTTGTCATTCCCCCCAAAAAAGTGTTGTAATATTTTTAAGAAATATTTTGGTTTCAGTGATTGAAAATAAAGAAAAGTCATGATATGTCCAGGTGGTGCTTTTATTTGCTCAAATCTTCGATTTTGCGTTTAAAAAACAGATGCCATAGGGATATTTTTGCTATTTCAGAGCACAACAATGCAGACAGAAATATCAATTTCTTTCTATCTCAATAAAGGTTTTTTTCCTCATGAACAATGATGGGTCATTACTGTAACTATCATTGGTTAAATTATAGTCGTATGTCAGACAAATTCTCGGGAAGCAGACCATTTATCCCTATTATCTAGTCGGACGTTGAACAGGACTATAGCAACCCCTGTTGATTTTTAGCGTTCTCCTTCGGCTTGAAGTCGATCAATGTCGTTCAGAAACCTGTTTTGTTTTTTTGGCGTGCTCCTTCAGCTTGAAGTCGGTCAATTGTAGTTCAAAAACACGTGATGCTTTTCAAAGTTTGAACTCTGAGTTTGATGCTGAAATTGATGATTGATATCCCATCTCTTTAAGATTTCAGACAACTCTTAACAGTGTTTAACTAGTTACCTATTTTTTGGGGATGATGAAATATGAATCTCAATGACACTCAAGTGGTTCTTTTTAAACAAAAAATTTTTAATCACAAAATAAAACGAATTTTGAAAATAGTGTCAGCACTTAGAAAGGGTAATATCTTCATAATAAAAAAAAAAAAGAAATCATCATCAACATCGGTGTCGTAACAGCTCATTTGGGGGCTCTGGCCTGCTCAGCCGCATCCTTCCAATCAGACATCATCATCATTATCACTTTAGCTACAGCCTAGTTGGGACTATGGCCTACATGTATTTATTTATTGACATGAAGATTTTTCTGTACGTTATGTCGCCATTTGCGAGTGGGTCACTTACATTTGATAGCAGAAAAAATATAGCATATAATTTTTTTAATTTTTTTGATACGTGTGTGTATAATGCGAACTCCTTGCGGTAAGAATCATTTCTAACATTATTTCTAGCTTTTGACAATGTAATAAACAAGTTTTTTTTTTTTTTTAATTTCCCCCCCACCTTTTGACGGGTGTTTTATTTTAAACATAATATTTTCGATTCATGTATCAGCTCATCCGTAATATCAGTCTTAAAATATTCTAGTATGTTTAATGAGTATTACATGGCCATTTGAGCTATCTCAAATAGTGACATTGGTTGTACCATAATTTATTAGGTGATGAAAATTTGAACGATATTATCAGAGATCTGTGCGTTATGTAATTAACGTTCTTTCTCTTTCTGTGCCACCGAACGACGGAATTCTCTCACATTACACATCCGCAATATACTGACAAAACCAGCCGTCAAAACTGGTCTCAAGACCCAGCTCTTCAAACTCTTTTATACCAACTCATTCTCACCCCCCCCCCCCCCCCAAACCCAAATTATAAATAGCACTTGATGCTCCTCGGTGCTGTTTATGGCTAGACAAGGGTAGATAAAATTTTCTGTAAAGTTTTATGTTAAGCGAAGTTAGCCTAGCACTAGGCTGGGGTGCTGCGCTAATTAAAACCACCTTAATAATAATTATTATTATCATTTGCAATGAGGAAAACCGGTACAATAATAATGCTCACTCTCTCTCTCTCTCTCTCTCTCTCTCTTTCTCTCTCTCTCTCAATGATAAGGCGCTTAATCAGTGCATGTTAGGGTTGATTATCCATGAATAAAGAAATCCATGCTCTCCACCACTGTGCTACACAGACTGCTGTAACTGATCAAACATAGTAGCAGTAGCACTTCGTGCAGCTCCGTAGTAAATAATAACTTGATGCGGACCCTTAATAGGAGATGCATATTTTATAATATTTTATCTGCAGTGATTTTGAATTAAGTACGAAAGATCCATACTTGAATTGTATACGATGCTTTAGCCACTCTCCTTGCTTAGCGAAGAGCTCCTGTGGTCATAAAACGCATTCCGCACTGATAAGTTTTCAGTTTTCCTACAAATATAAGAGCTAATTTCAGAATCTCCATAATTGTAAATTGTAATCATCTCTTTATTGAGTAGCTTGCATGTCCCGAGCTGCAAATTTCTATGAAACTGTCATTATCCCATTTCACAATACCCGTAACTATTTCCTTAATAGCATTACTTTCATAAAAAAAGATTTATCAATTTTGTTTCATAATTGCTTGAAGTGTTATAAGTTTTGCACATCAGTATCAGACCCAGAGGTTGCAGTACCTATGATATCACTAAAGACGATACTGAACCTTATATACAAAATAATGTAATCAAGTCAATGAGAACCCATTTTTTGAATCCTTTTTTTTCATAATTTTCCCTCAAATTTGAGGCATGTATCTCATGTGTTATTATGATAGGTATTACTTCAAAGATGATATGCATTAACACATCCGAATCCAGGATCTAAGTCGTAAAGCGTCTGGTGTAGATGTAAGCCCCATTTCAAATTTCATGCTCATTAAATTCTCTAGGGACACATGCACCTGTTGTCATTATTTCTCTTGACAGAAGTAAAGTCATCCTTATACTGTCTTTGTTTATTTTTTATTTATTTAATTTTTTTTTTTTTGCCAAGTAAATTTTTTAAAGATGTGTAGGCCAATCTTGTGATGCATACAGAATTAATGCTAACACCTTCTCAACACAAAACCAAAACCTCTTCCCTTCCTAAGTCCATAAAAATTATATAGCCCAAGGGCGCCTTTAATATAATATGTACTGTCAAATTTTGTTAAGAGATCCTTGTCCTTATATGGCGGATAAGAGAGATCTACTCGAGCAACGAGGCATCAAAATGAGTTTACGAGTTGATCATCAAAGAATATGAATTTAAAACATAAACAAAGATTTGACTTATATATTCTTTTTTTCTTTCTCATTGACTTGATTACATTATTTTGTATATAAGCTTAAGTCATTGGGGGACCTCCAGTTTCTGATCTCATCGACTAAAGTTTTCACTGCGTGGACTTTTCTCGGAGTTATTCCTAGGGATTATAGAGCTTACTTATATACCAATAACTTGCATATTTATTTGACACCTTATCAAGGGGATAATACTTTTATACTATTAACTTGTATATTTATCTGACGCCTAGTCCAGGAGATTTTACACTCTAGAATGAGTGTTTGCCTTTTTAAAGATGTTTATATGTGTGCATGTGATGTGCTTCTCTATTTCAGTCTCTCTGTTGTGTAATATAATATTAGCAATTAAGTTGCACAAAAACGCCTTAGTGTTCAAGTTAAAAACAAATAAATTAAAGTTTATCGTCTTGTCTGTGGCATATATGTGACAGTGTGTGCCTTAGTGAAATTTAAAAAAAAAATTAATTAAAAAAATTAAAAAACCTTATGTCAAACTGATAAAAACTATGTTTTGCATTTTAGTTATATTATGCATTTCATATTAAATTTTATTACTATGTTTCCTAAATTATATAGATTAATTAGAAATCAACATTCTACAGATTTCCATTAATATGTATTAAATTTAATTTTGTTTTTAAAAGATGCATTCACATAATTATCAACTATTCTTTTGAATATACTACATAAAGTACACTTGACATGTGAATGATTCTTGAGAGAAGAGAATCTTAAAAACTACTGACCTGTTTTATTGTATAAATGTATAACATATTTATTTTGTCACGTCTTTAAATTTAATAACTGTTGAAAAAGTTTAATTTAAACAATAAAATATATTCAATAGATTTGCTATTGATAATGATCAAATTGAGCATATTAATAATGATAGCTGAAATAAAAATTAAACTGTTACAGTGAAGTAACAAATTTATCTGGATTTATGAGTGACTCAAAGTTAATCTGATACAAACCAAGGGAAGCCTTTAAATATGAAATAAAATGCTCTCTTCTTTTTCAATATATTTATTTAAAGGTAAAAAACCGCCAAGTTATATCTAAAACCTATTAGTATAAAGTCTATGAGAATTAGAGCTAGATTTTTTTTTGTACATGTTATTGGAATGCTATTGAAAAATAAAAATAAATATTTAAAAATTAGACATTCGCATTGGAATCATTAGTTGGAAGATAAAAATTAATTTAAAGTAAAGCATTTAAACCTTTCCTTTCATTTATCTCCTGTTTGAAATATGAGAATACATGACATATTGTTGGTCACCATTTACATGTTTGTTTTCTAGGTGAGTATTTTATCAGCACATATATATAAAATATTAACAATGCAGTTCACATCTTGACATATTTTTTTTTAATATGTTAAAATAAATGCATCAATAATAAATTGAACAAATTTGAAGAAAGTGGCTTCTAATATAAGAAATTAATCTCCTATTTTAATTGTATTGGCTCGTTGTACGTAAAGTGCCTAACAAAGGACGAAACCATAGAGTCAACAATATTAAAGATACGACACCCAAAACAGTTGCCAGTTACAATTAATAAGATTTATTAAGTATTAATATAGTTACGAAACAAAAGAAATATCATTACAAATCATCAACTTACAGTATGGTAGATCTTGTACCAGTACACAGTTAACACAGTTAGTACAATGTGCCAATTAATAATAATGAATGATCAATGCAAATAAACACATACACAAAGAATAATACACGCCTCGTAAAGTTAATAATTATCTATCTTCATCTCCGTCTCTCAATCCCCCGGCCTTATATATGGGTATCGCCTGTTTCTAAGAAGATTCGGAGGCAGAATATACATCGTAGTCGTGACTCAAATCTTCTCTGAATTTCCAGACTATACTACCATTTTGTATCACATTTGAGTCCAGAGAAACAGGTGATAGGTATTTTTGTGGTAAACAAAGATCAAAAGAAAATAGGACATGCCCACATAAACGTGTCTGCTAGATTGGCGATACAGAGTTCACAGCAAAGGTAAGGTTAGACATTCTACATAACAAAGTATATATTTTTTAATTAACCAACATAAAATATGTAATGGTGTGCTAGCCAACAACACCACAGCTGTGATTATTTAATTTACCATTCTCAGTTTTGCAGCCTGAATGGATCTGATGAAACAGTCCTAGTTTGCCATCTCTTCCTAAAATGTAGACAGCAGCACCGCTACTTCCATTGCAAGTAGAAGAAGAGTAGGTGTACTTTGTATCCACACCCCCAACATGATGGCGTTGACGCCAGTATCCAATGGATATCTGCTTAGGGCATCCGTGTGGGTGTGAAACAATAACCGTCAGTTTGTGGATCTGTTTAATACTCCTGCACTGCAGGTAAAGTTCTCTTGACTTCGTGTTGAAACTCTCAATAAAAGTTCTCAGTTTCCCTAGTGCTGTCACATGTGTGACACACTTCAGTTTACACCAGTCATCCTCAATCCTATCACTGACCTTTGAGCTCAGCCCTTCAAATGTTATGTCACAACAGTCGTCACTATCATACCCCCATCTACATTTTGTGGCACGCGCCTCATGATCATTAAACACAACGTGCCTGGCTGTGATGACTTCAACCAAGCACCAGGCAAATGTTGACTGGCCGGATGCCTTACATAGCGAGCATGGACAAGGCTTATCATCTTTTTCAGTGAAATTTATAATATTAAATATCCTCCCTGTCCCATATCTAACACATTGCTTGCCTTCAGACTCCTTATAGGAAGGATACGCTTCACCTTTCATTTTTTCTGGCCTCTCACTACTTGAAAAAGTACACATAATCCTCACAGTCAGTTGTGCCAAATCTCTGATGACATCATAAATTATGGGAAGTCGATAACGCTCCGGAATATCATAAAAGCTAAAAGAGTTGAATGGTTTGAATCCTTTGTGTGAAGGGTCCTTTTTACAGTTATCATACTCTTTATGTAAATCTGATTCAGGTCCACAACAGATTTCTGTTTCAAAGGTGCCTGGAGTAAAAATAACAATACATTATTGTTAGGTTTGCTGTTTGAACCTTAAGAAACATTTCAAACAACTTCATCATTGAAATTAAGAGCCATATAATCATATCATAAGGTATTTATAACTTAACAAACAGAAATATGTTATTTATTTATTTGCTTACCTTGACTCAATCTAATTGCATGTGCAAGTTTCAAAGAGTCACTTTCGCATACAAGTTTTCTCTCATTAATTTGTTCATCCCGATCTGAGAAGTTCTTAGAAACTGTAGAATGTCTTAAAGCTGGGAAGTCCTTGCTTTGAGCAGAGTCGATCTTTTTTGCTAAGTTTTCCATTGTCTTAACAAATTGACGCTTGCAACAGAAAGCCTAAGATATTATAGAAAAAAAAGAATAAACACTAAATGTGTGATTAGGATTAGCAAAAATGATGATCATTTAAAACTCAGACTTTGTGTATTATTTTCTCATTAGATATGATTAATTGTAGAAAAATCAAAATTAATTTAATTTGTCAATTAAAAAAATGGTATATTCCCTTTCAAATAATTACAGTATAGGGTTTCTCAAAGATTTCTTATGTTACTTTCCAAATTTAGATTTTAAATATTTAACGTGATAAATAAAATACATTTTATTTTTAAAAAACAGCCCATAGAATATACTTTTTAAAAATATTTTGATTGCACTGAACATGGGCCATGTTAAATCTGTTAAGGGATAAGTCTGATAAGTTATAGGCCTAAACAGTGGGCTTTGTATAATGCTCAGTGTTATCCCCGGCCAACAAATGGTTTACTTTTCTTGTGCAAGCAACAAAAAAAAATAATGTAGCGGAGTTATGGGCTGTATTGAATCCATCATATTTGTTTTAATTTTAAAAGACTATTTTATGATTGCACTGTTATTATGTTTGCTTGTATATATATCTTCTAAGCTGAGAATTATCTCCTTATTTAAATTACGCATTATCAGAATATCTATGGCATGGTTTAAGTCTAGTCCTGCATTCTGATTATGTTTCTAAATGGCTGAGACTGATAATAACACTCAGTCAATCAGCATTAGTCCCAGCCAATAATGATTTAGGCTTATGGTTTAGGCTACTACCGTGATAAAGTCCATTGGGAATAACGTTTCATTTAGTTACAGCCCATGTTGTAAATAACAGCTAAAATTGTAAGTAGCCTAAGTCATTATACAACGCCGGCCTTTTACTTTTAGTTAGGTGTGCAATCTGTGCCATCGCACACAATAAATATTTAAATTCCCTTAGTACTTAGAAAGTTAGACGTAGTGATTATCAGTAAGCCTTATAAGTTATGAGTGAAGTAGGCCTATAATAACGTACCGTGCCATAATAGAAAAACTAAATAATAGTTAATAGTCTAAAATAATGTGAGGACCATACATTTACATAATTTATTTTTATTGACCTACATGTTACAGCAATTGGAGACATTAAAATTAATGCCTCATACTCATAACTAATCATTCGTTACTAGCATTATTACTATTACTTATACTTAGTAGGGCCTATAATGTTTCGAATCATTCATACTAATACTATTATTATTATTCTTATTAACATGGAGTAGGTCTATACTGGTATACTATCGGACCCATACTCATACAGGGACAGGGCATGGGGCGCCGAACAGGTGCTTCGCACAGGCGAATGTTCACCTAAGGCCGATGTTGCTTCATTATATATCTTAAAATTTAATTTTCGAAAATGCCCCAATTCTCCTTGTAAATGACAAAGATTTCGGTAAAATCCGAACCAAAAAAAAAATGAAATGACTATCAGTAAATTCAGTAATAAACGGCATATTAAAATGAATGTAATGTATAACCGGTTTCTTGGCATTATTTTATATAATTTAATATACGTTATAACCAGCGTTGCTCTCCAAGAATTAAGAGAAACTCACAAAATACAAATCTAGTTCATCTCCAAATAATAAGGTTGTTACCAGTAGCCAGTAGTTAGGCATTAGCAACAATTACATGGGGATTTCCAAAGAGAATTGAAAGTTGGTAGCTATTCTTTAAGTTACTATAAATATCTAGTGGAAATTTCCAATACGGTAATAAGGGTTGCCAGTTTTAAAAAAATCCATAAAGTGGCATAAAGAAGGTTATTAGTACCATCAATTTTGTTTAATTTGAAAAAAAAAAAGCTTAGAAAACAATTTTTACAAACAGTTTTTGACGCTATTATGTGTATTTTTTGTTGTACTTATTGTGTTTCATTAATGAATTTAATGGTAAACAATTAATTATTATTCAACATAAAAAGTGCAAAAAATAACAACAAAAAAACAATTGTTGTTAAATAATTAAGTCTGAAAAATCTCCCAATACAGTCCTTTAATAATAAGTTATTTACATCATGAAGTGTTTTCAAAGTAAATAATATGAAAGCCCAATACGTTTTTAAATTATGATTTGAGTTGCAGTATTTAGACTCTGTGTTGACAGTAAAAACAAATATTATTAAAAATAAAGCCAATCCTTCATTTTATTAATTCTATTTAAAAAAAGATTTATTTAAAAGCAATCAAATTAAACTATTTATTTAACTCGGCTATCAACCTTTACATCGTGGTTATTTAAAGAATTAATTAGCTACCTTTAGCCTAGTGTTGAGGAAATAAATGATTAAAAAAATTCAACGTGTTTTTGTATTATAATTTTTATTATTTTAAAAATAATATTTTAAGTGTTCTTTTTGGAATATACACACAAACACACACATTCCTTAATGCAGTGGTTCTCAGCCCTCCTAATGCCGCGACCCTTTAATACAGTTTCTCGTGTCGTGGCGACCCCCAGCCACACAATTATTTTCGTTGCTACTTCATAGCTGTAAGGATATGTGTTTTCAGATGGTCTTAGGCAACCCCTGGAAAAGGGACCCGCGACCCCCAAAGGGGTCGCGACCCACAGGTTGAGAACCACTGTCTTAATGGATAATATATAAGAGACAGCTTTCAAGCTGTGTGAAGTAAATAAATAATGGGGGAAATATGTTTAGGCTTGAAAAAGAAAAGACGGTATAATTAAAAGGACGAGTGAGCTAAGCGCCTTCTTTGGCATAAAAAAACAACAGATAAGTATTTATTTATTTACACTTACACATAATATATAACCAAAACATGATCTCACCACAAGTCAACAGCTACAATTATGATTCAACTGATATCTTCTTTAAGATTCAAAACATTCGGCTAATTACTATCCCATTGCAAGTAAGAAAAACCACTTTCAAAAGTTTGCAGTTGAATAACCTACTCCAAAAGAATCATTAACGAAAGTGCTACCATTATCCCACGTCAGCATTGGCCCGAAACAAAGTCACGTGACAGTAGAGCGTTTTAATACCGAAACTGAAACAAGGTGAAATCTAATATGTTGAAGTTATAATACTTGGTTATTTTGTCTGTCTGTGGTTAAGTAGCCATGCTAGGGATTTGGGGGGTCGGGGGGGGGGTGGCCTCTATGGGGGCCCCTGCATTTTTAAATTCGACATTATTTAATATAAAAAAAAAATTCGGACAGTCCTTTGGGGTCCCCCCTCAAGTAGCGGCCTGGGGGGATTTTCGAATTTGGACACCCCCCTCCCCTAGCTACGCCACTGCTTTGGTTGTTGTAAACGCATACAGATCGCACCCGATAGGTTGTTCTTGAAAAATGATTACACGTAACCAATTTAGCAGAATGTAATGTGTATGAACTTGAGGGCTGTCACATTACTTTAATTAGAAGAAATAGGAATAACTGCTGCATTAATGGGTCTGAAAAAAAGTCAGAAGACCATGGATACAGTGGCGTAACTAGGGGAAAACGGGTTAGGATAATGGGGGTTATCCATACATAGCGTCACGTCTATTCACGCTTTTTTAAAGTTAAGTCATAATCAACACACGTTCTTTATAAATTGTGGAATATTCGTCTCACTCCTTTTACAATTTTTTTTCTTGTGTGTTTATTTGGGTGACATCTTTTATCAGTTAATAAATAAATATATATATATATATATATATATATATATATATATATATATATATTTATCTTTATATATTGTGTAATATTTGTCTCTCTCTTTTTTTATTTTTTTTTTTTGTGTGTTTATTTGGGTGACATCTTTTATCAGTTAATAAATAAATATATATATATATATATATATATATATATATATATATATATATACATTTAAAAAAATCTCTTTTCAGGACTTTATTGATTAATTTAAATAAAATTCCGTTAGATTGTTTTCTTCTGTTTACTTTTGTTAAAAAAATAGTTATGCATCATATCAATTCAAAATAGTTTATGCTATATTACTTTAAGAAAATTTCGTATCATGTTCATTATTATTTTATATTATAAACAAAGTATCCATATTGTTATAAAGTAAGCGTCGTAGAACTGCATCAAAACAAAAAAACAACATTTTTTTAAAAACAACACAGGGTCCTTTTTCTAAGGCAAACATTAATGGAAAGTTACTTTGTGATATTATTATAATAAACGTTATCACCACTTCACTTGACTCAAATAGTAAGTGATTAAAAGGCAATTTAAAAATTGACTATTGAACAAAATAATGTATTTCAGTAGGGAAGCATTAGTATCAAGAAAATTGTGTCATGTAGCCTATATAGGTCTACTCATAAATTTTGCTGGATTTAGCATATCTTGCAAAATAAATAAACTATAAAATAATGTTCTTTAAAAAAAATAAATAATAATAATGTGAGAAAAAAAAAACCTCTGTGTTTTTGAAAAAAAAGAAGCAATATGTTGATAGTTTGTGTGGTCTATATAGCCACAAAATTATTGCTGATTCAGGTAGGTTACAAATATGTGTTTAAAGGAATTTTGTTATTTTTTGCAAATCCGTCGTTAAATATTGTGGAATACTCCTAAATGTTAGGATTTTATGGTACAAATATATTTAATTAAAGTATTTCAATGCCTACTGTAGGCTAAGTGAATATGGATTAATTTGTACCTTCCTAAAGTATCATCCATGATGATGGGTTAATAGCAATGGTAGCCTACTTGTATGATGTGCGCTTTTGCGAGCGCACAAAAGAGAGCAAGGGGTCCAGAAATGTTATTTAAAGCAATAATTATGTAAACAAAGAGTAATTAAAATGTGTAACTTATTTTCCTGTCTAAAGTTGATGCTGAAAATATTGCGGATGCCCATAGTGAACACAAAACAGACAAAAGGTTTGGGTCAAACTATTTTATAAGTGTTGTGTAAGTGTAGGCCTACATTTTATTTTATTTAATTTTTTTTTTTGTGTCTATAATGCATACACGTAGGCTTAGATAGTGTACAAATTTGGCTAAATTGTGTCATGTCATTACACTATAGACTATATGTTAAATGGTTGGCACCTACGGACGTAAGAATGTAATTTTGTAAGTACCGGTACGCTCGATTATATTTATAATATCATATAAATATAATAATATATTTTTAATTTATAACATTTTTTTTCGCTACTTGGATTTCGGCATTGTAAAATTTAAATAATAATGAAAAACCTTCATTACATTTACTTTACAATTTGTTTATAAAATTATATATAATATGTAGACTGTAGAGAGTCAGCAATTAAAGTTATTTTGGCTGGAGCTATTCAGATAGTCCATAATATGCTACGCAGTCCCAACTGCTTCAAAATGACTCCCCGCTCTTCCCTAGTCTCTGTAAGAAACAGTGGTTTTCATTATTATAAAATCCCATTTTGAAAAAACAATTTCTAACATAGAAATAGGAATTCCCGATATTACAATCACTGGCTATTTAGCTACTTTTAGACTTGGCAATCATGGGGATTGGGTAGACCTATTTACCAGATTCAGATAATAGTATTTCATTATAAACATTTAAAAAAATGCTTCAAATGACATCCTTGAGATTTGTAAGATCGAATATTTTTGTACTACCGGTAAATTTGGAGAGATAGCACCGCGGCCATTATCTTGGTTGCCGCAACCCACGAACTTATGTCCTAAGTGTATTCCTAAACCTGACCCCTAAACTTATACCTAACCTAGGTCACACTCGGTTTTGACTTTTGACATTATCGGAACCAGGGTTTTGACCCTTTTAGAAACAGGGACACAATACGCAAATGACGTCTCCAAATTACCAGGCTCAGTTAATTAATTAGATATTTATTACTATTTAAAAAGCCACAGACATTATTTAAAAATTCGATAATTTGTGAATATGTATAGTGTACTATGCCTGCACAGACTATGCAAATATGAAAAGGACAACTTATCAGAAAAATTAAATAATAAAATTGCCAAACTACAAAAAAAGTTCTTTGCAAAGTCATGGTGTGGTGTATCAATTTTTATAAGAAAAATATTCAACTACTGACTAAATGAGAAGCAGAGCTAGAGTTAGAGCGCTGTGAGCATGCTAAAATATTGTTGACAGAAGCCTTCGTGCGACAAGCCGCTATAAAAATATTCAATTCATTCAGTCAGCAGCAGAGCTCACCGTCAACTCTTATCAATGTGTGAAAAACAAAAACAGTTAGCTTGTATCTATCTGATCATCTGCGCCTGACACAATATTGGCAAATTGCTTGGACATGAAATTCTTGTCAAAAAGAGATGAACATTTGATTTGCTCAGATAGATATGTTTTAAAAAAAAAAATGAATAAAATAACTGCACCAAACATTTCAATCCTTAAATATAAAAATTTGAATTTTAAATTATTAAATCAAGAAGTGACATCCCCACCCCTCATATAAATTTAGTGTTCAAGTTCAAGCTGACATTGAATATATGAACTTTTTGATATCATTAGATAGTCCACTCTAGCATTTAGCATTGCTCAAGGTCTATCCAGTGGCTTAGCGAGGGTGTTTGGCGCCCGGGGACAAGATCCATTTTTAGCGCCCCTTTTTCTTTTTTTCAACTCTCAAACCCGTTATTTTCTTCAATAAAATAATATCAAAGCACATTTTGGCGCCCCTAACTAGCTGGCGCCCAGGGACATCTGTCCCCCCACGCTACACCTCTGGGTCTATCCCTTGTATAACATGAAATCCACACTTAAACTTAAACAGATTCAAACAAAACAACATTCTTCAAATGTTAGTTTGTACAATGGTAACTCTTACCCTTCTGATAAGTTCATGTTGTAAACAGAATATTATGAATATTAGTACTTTGGAAGATTTTGAAATTTATGTTTGCATATGGTAAAGAATACAAAAAGAAAAAATTTAAAAAGTTATATTTTCCTATGATGACACTTTTTAGTGTATCAATAAAAGATCCAGGTAATGACCATTGTCCACTATAGATGTTTATAGAAAACATGTCAATGCCAAAATAAATGCCATCTAAAAAAACACTATTGAAACAAACAAAGTGTTACCTTTTTTCAGGTGAAAGCTCAATTTAAAAAGATGGGGAGCCCTCAGCCTGTTAATATTTTCTCATGTCAAGAAATATATGAAAGATTATTACCATAGTGAGGATAACTACGTGAGTCATCAATTTATTGGTCTACTTCTTGTGTGAAACATATTAATATCAAGCAGTTGACCCATTTACATTCAGACTTAATGTTTAATTTGTATCCAATGAAATTTTTGTAATATTTTAAGATGCCCCTGCAAGAAGGCTGCCGCTGCTCCCCAGGTTTCACAGCAAGTGCACAGTTTGGGAACTACTGAGCTACACAAAAACAGACAGCTGACAAAACCTGAGAAAACCAGTGACAATTTTTAACAATGTGGGTGGTGACTTTGTTTAAATGTTCTGTGTCTCATTTTTGTTGAAAGAAAATTTAATGCAAATGTTTTGCGTGATTGGTGGAGGGCGGATATAATTTGTAAATGAGCAGCAGGCTAATAATATACCGGTGCAACAAAAAGGCAGTGATTGTTATGAAAATTTGAATTCGTTTCCATTTATAATAAAGGGGATGGCAGTTAAAAATGTGGAAATCTATTCTGACTGACATGATGAATTTTGAGATTGGGCAATTAACAAAATTATTTACAATGTTTCGATCAACTTGCCTCTGAGAATCAGCAATATCTAGAATTGGGATTTATTAATCCGAATTCAGATTCCAAATTATTGATGTGAATCGTGAATATTCAAACTTTAAACGAATTTAAACTAAATTTGTGCAGCTTGTAAATAAATTTTAATGTAAATTACAAGGAATGTAAAACTTTCCAGTAAAACTTTTTTAAATTAGATTAAATGGCTTAGTTCTTCTTTTACCTTTAAAGGCATACTTGTTTTAAAAAGCCCAGTTTATGTGAAACAACAATAAAGTGTTTTATTATGTTCTTTTCAGCTTTTTCACCTCATTTTTCCTACTTTTTTATACATCTTCTTTAAGCCATCCAATTTTGCCAATTTTAGCTGCATCAAAATATTTAAAATATGCATAATTTTGCATTTTTTTAAAGACTCATTTTAAGCAGTATTAACAGCTTGTTGTTTTACAACTAGCCTCTGTTATATTATGTTTTGTTCATGATCAATTGGTGTAGTTATTTTATTTTTACTAGACTTACATAGAGCAGAGAAAATTGTTTCATTCCCTAACATTAAATAACACAATGGTGAGTTAAGGTGACACAGTCCACTTAATTTCTTGCTTTGATATTTAATTTTAAAAAAAAGTTTCACATTTTAAATTATTAAAAACAATTTTTTTATTTTAACATGTCATTTTATAAAAATTTTTGAAACATTTTCATGTTATACAAGCAATGATTGCTTTGGAAACCTGAAAAAACAAGTTGTAGTCAACTAGAGCTTATCAGTATGTCTGTACAAGAATATTAAGAATATCTGTTAAAAAAATAAATAGTTCCACACAAATTTAATAAGATTTCTATTAAAAAAAATAGATAGTTTCTCACATTAATAAGAATTTCTCTGGAAACAAATAGTTCCACAACAATATAATCAAAATTTGTAGTAAAACAAATAGTCTCAAATATAAGAATTTCTATTTAAAAAATGCATAGTTACACAACCATATACCGGTAATAAGAATATGCATTTAAATTACTGTACACATTTACGCAACCATACACTAAGAATATGTTTTTAAATAACCACATCCATAACAATATACGAAGAAATTTTATACATGCAAATAGTTCCATAAGCATTTCTATTTAAAAAATAGTTAAACAATAAAATAATTTATGTTACAACAGATCGATACATAATTTTTTACATAAGAATTTCTGTTTAATAAGACATTATTTTTTATAATGTGAAAATGTATGTTTATTTTAATAGTGATTCTTATTTCATTGACTTGGATCTATGTGTTTGTTTTAATATAAATAATAATTATATTGTAGTAAAAATGTTTTTGTTTTTTTGTACCAATGAAGGCATTTGGTGAAACATTTACATTTGTATCTGTATGATGATTATTAAAGCTGATAGTACATTGTTTTATTTACACAAATTGTGTCTTGTTAATCTACGTTAAAGCTTTATCGCAGTCCAACACCCTTAATAATTAGTTAATTCTATGAAAATAATACATATTTCCACAAAAACATAATAAATTATTATATTATAAGAAATGGAGTGTTTCACAATTTTATAAGAATTTCTATTAAAATAACAACGTAACTGAAGAATGTTTTGTATATAAATAGTTCCACAGGGATATAATAATAATTTATATTCTAACAGATAGACTCACAACATAATATTATAATTTCTATTCAAACAGAATATAGATAATTTTACTATAAACAAATGGATAGTTTAACATTGATATAATATTTATTTGTAAAAAAAACAACACATGGTTCAAAAACAATTAAAAAAGAATTTCTATTAAAACTAATAAAAAGTTTCACATTATATAAAGAATTTGGAAAGTCACATTAACATGCTATGCAAGGTTATTTTTCTAGAGCTGCGCAGGATTAGTCACATCAGGCCCTTCGTAACAATTGATGCAACAAAGAGGCTGATGTCTGCATTTGTGCTATCATGCATGGACTATTGCAATGCTCTCATGGTGGGTCTTCCAGCTACGCTCCTGGATAAAATTCAAATAGCACAGAATAATGCGGCTCGCATTGGTCTTCGCAAACGCAAGTTCGACCATGCTAAAACACTTCTGAGAGAGTTGCATTGGCTGCCGGTCCATGCTTGCATAAAGTACAAAATCACAACGTTGTACTACCGCTGCTTACATGACCTGGCGCCGTCCTATCTGAAAAAGCTGCTCACTCCTCATGTACCCACTAGACAACTCAGCTCATCCGATAGTGGCAAACTCTCGACACCACGTGTTCGCCTTGAGACTTACGGAAAGCGCACTTTCGCATTTGCAGGTCCAACAATTTGGAACGCCCTTCCTGTCGATCTCAGAAACAACCAGACATTGGAGTCCCTTAAAACCGATTTAAAGACACATCTATTTCACAAACACCTTCTGGGATGATTCGCTACCATATCTTCCATTTAATGCATATTGGCTGTGTTGCTTAGGGTTGAAATGGGTAGAAAGACTTTGACTTGGTATGCTTGTAATTAGTTTTTGTAATGTTGCGTTTATTTTAAATGTGATAAATTATATTACTTTGTACCGCGCTTAGAACCTTTGGGGATGAAGTGTGTTTTTGAAATAAACTTTATTATTATTATTAATTTCTATTAAAATAACACCAGTACATAGTTCACCATGAACAACAAGCTATCAAATCAGAAGTTGTAAAAAGAGACTGTAGTGAATGTGTTGCAACCAATTCCTATCAATCCTATTCCAGCACAAGTGGTAACAAGATATGGCAGGAAAGGGAAACACCAATAAGCTTCCATGATATAGAGATTTAAACTATACATCGATGCCAATTAATATTTCAACTATTTTTCATTCAAAGATGTTGGATAATATTTTACTATTGATATTATAGTGCATACATAGCGTTTTCTTGATTAACTATTGATTGTCTTATTAAGAGGGAGATATGACAGTATGATTGCTGAATGAATCTGCCAGGACCAATAGTTGTGTTTTTCATACCAGTATTGGGTTACATTTATGAAATGTGTGTGTATTATTCTCTTTTGCTTCTCTTTATTATTTACTATGCTTGCTCCAAGGACCATATTTGCATGCACTTACTTTTTGCTAGGTACAGATGAAATTAAATGTACCTGCTTAGCAGTTTACTATGTTTATTCTCATAGAAACTTACTACATAGTTTATAGGTGTGTATATTGGCCTAAAACAATTTATGAATTCCATAATCCAGTGAATAAACTCCTTTATATCCAGTAAAAGATCACACAAGTTGGGCCTGTAGGTTATGTGAGTCAAAGGATTGTTAGAAATATTTTTTATTAGCTGGAATGTCCAGTATTAAAATCAAGTTGCCTTAGTTGCCATAACATTGCAGCTGCAATTGTTGTGTACATTTACAAAGAATCTCCAGCCTTGTTGATTTAAAGTGAATTTGAAAAGTGATAAAGGTGAATGTACTCCTTATCTTGTCTTGTTTTGGACAAGTTTCAGAAGTTAGCTCAGATCTTATGACATGAATAGCATTGTCATGATGATTGGGTTGTCCAATATCCTAATCATCACTCTGATACTGTGAAATGATAATAAAATATAAGCATTACATATAGGCTTAGATAGGTCTTATAGTTTTAGAAAAACTGAACAAAACTAAATACATTATTCAATTAAAAATAAAAATTCTAAATTAAGAGCTGTTTTTAATCCAGAATAAAATATAGACCTAAAATTAATTGCCTCTTCTAAGCGTATTCAGTGTAAACAAAGGAAATTTAAAAGAACTATGCCTTCACTTGATATGCTGTAATAATAAACAATAATTAATATAAATATGTTTGAATACTTAATTTCAATAATGATGAAGTCCACTGTTACAGTATATCAATGTAAAAATAGCTTTTTTCCACCAATTCAACAAAATTTTATTTTGTTTTGACCCGCGGTAACAAAGAAAAAATCTTACTGCTGATAGCGAATTTTCGATCTGGCGAAAATACACAAAATCATCAGCAGTCATGTCTTCTTCTTGTTTTTATCGGGCTAGTATCACGTTTTGACTAAAATATAATCAACAACAACGTTGGATGATAAATTTAAACCTATTTGTCACATTGAGTGCAACCAACCTTCGATGAAGTTTCACAGGATTGGCATTAAGGCAGACGAAAATCCTGTCATCAGCAAAAAAAGAAACATGATGCTGGTGCTAATTTTTAAAAATCTTTATGTACGTTTAAAATTGACATTTTTTTTTTTTAAATAAAAAAAAAAATTATTTTCCAGTTAAAAATAACTTTGTATGTAAAAATGTGATTAAAAAATCAATTAATAATGCTCAAGACAACATACTCGAGAGTTAAATGTGTCCCCCTTCCGGGTCATCCAAAACTGTGAGCTGACAACTAGGTCTGACATAAAACAGGTCATCTCATCACAAACGTTTACAGGAACTCCAGGAAATGGTAAATCAGACATTTCTAGAGCCAGGGATGGGAAGTCTGCTCCAATGAAGAAGTCATTCTGATGGGAAAATTGACGTTTCATGTGTCAAATTTTATTTTAATAAAAAAGATAATAATGTAAATATGCAGCTATATTTTAAACTATTATTCCGCTCATCAATTCTTGGTAAAAACATTAATGTCAAACAGGGAAAAATTTCTCATGTAGCTTGCAAAAAGCACACTGGTTTTTAATTCCTACTATAAGCAAACAAAAACATACTTAAAATTATGAGGTTTACTCTGCAACATATTACATATGTGTTGTTGTTGAATTGTGTACATTTCATTAACTAAAATAACATTTTAATATCAACTTGGCAACAGGTTCAAAACCTTTCGTTTGTATAGTCACCCCCTTTTTCAGGAGCAAAGATACCAGCACCTGCGACATGGATTTATTATACTTTTTTTTAAAATTTGAAACATTTTAAAATACACGTTAAAGTGAGAGAAACAGACAATTATTTCAACTTCATTAAGAAACATTAAGACACCGGTACTGTATATAAAATTATTTCAACTTCTTTAAGGAACATTAAGAGACCAATATATACAATTATTTCAGCTTCATTAAGAAACATTAAGATACCAATTAAAAATGTAAAAAAAAAAAATCATTATTGTTTTTAGTTCGCTGTTTCACTCAGAGAACCCACAGAAAAAACATTATAGGTTGTGAACCAGGTTGCCCTATTGTTCCATCATTCAAAAATAAATTTTGTTTTAAGTCAGGGTGGTGAAAATTTATAAAAGAGAGATACATTTACTATTAGTATCTATTGTGAATTATCAGTTCAATCATTGCAATGTTTCTTTGGTTCAAAGCTATACTTTAACATAGCAATCACTCACTGTCTGATCTTTTCTTCTATATTCTTCCTTCATCAGAACATCTGACAGTGGCTGACTCTCCTCGACCAAAGCAGTCGGGTGGTTATACTCTAAACTCGGGTGTGATAGAGTAACTGCCAATTATGTCACATCTTATATGCATTCATTTCCTGACCGGCTTCCCCATTCTCTGTGTCGCCTTCATCTTCAAATTTTTCTCCATCACTCATTGAGCTGCTGCCAGACTCCTAACAAAGAGAAATGAGCCAGTTTTAGGTACTGGGGTTGAGAGTAATAGTTCACACAGATGACCAAATATAATTTTGGGCATTGGAGTCATGGGTAATAGTTCACAAATGTAAGAAATTAAGACCTGGGCATTCTGAGTCCACAAGGAAAGTAAAATCGAGTTAAATAACCATTTTGTGCATGGGGGTCAAATGATGGTACAAATGTGATCAGTAACTATTTTGTTTATGGGAGTAAGAAGTAACAGTAAAGGCATAAAAACCTTTGACATATCAATTTAAAACCCCAAAACTGTAACAACCCCCCCTCCCCCCCCATTTGTTTGAGATATTTAACCAAGATATTATTGTCATTGCAATGAAATGTCCCTACATAATAGTGATGCTACTCTTCCTCTGGGTTGGTTGGGCTCATAAAGGCCTTGAGTGAAGGAAAACTTGTAATCTTTTATTTCTTCTTTTTCCCAGCTCAGTGGAACTTGACCGACTTACCAAGTGATTTATTGGACAAGGACCTCAAGGGCTGGTGAATGTGTGGGTAGGAGACCTTAGGATGTGCTGCAAAGAGAAAAAAAAACAATATTTAATTACTGAGGAAAAACTTATCTCTTTGTGAAGGTTTGAACCAGATGGCCAGTTGAAAGAATGGCAACCCTTGCAATAGTGACAGGTGGAACTGATAGAGCATAAAATTAATTAATTAAAGAGTACACATTTCATATTTCGATTTATTTCTGATTATAAGCTTGAACTATTTGCTTGATATCCTTCAATCCCCAGAAAGTAAATGATGTGTAATATATGTCAGCAATCTAAGATTAAGTTTTTCACTTAACCCTCCCAAGCAATTAAGACATAATGCAATTTGTGTATACATCATATTAATGCCTAAATTTATTTTAATTTTGGTTATGTGTATTAACTTCACTTAAAAATGTATTTCTCATTTGGAAATGTTTTTTAACTTTGTCATGTTGCCAGGAGGCAAACCTACTTAAATATTTGGCCTCATCCACATGGTAGGACTCACAGAGGGCCAGCTTGCCACTTTCCCTTCCCATAAGGTTGAGGGCCTGGGATTAGAGTTGGGATCAGAATGGTGTGCTCAAACTTTCTTTTTATCTCAAAGATCTTCTCCATCTTACAAAGACAGAATGAGACACACATTATATAAGCTGGGCATTAAGACTGTATGCAAAATATTTGTTCTTGTATAGATTACCTACCAATCTGATAAAAAAAAAATAAAACACTAAACTAATTCAACAAAAATGAAAATACTTTGGATATTGGGATTTAGAAATGCTGCATACAATTTCAAATGTATGGATAAAGATACAGCACAAAGGGAGTGAACAAAATGACCCAGATATCTCAATGAAGTCCAAGTATAGCAATGACATTTATATAACATACAACACATAACCACTTTGCTTTACCTCAAGACATATCTAATTTATATTCATATTCTGCATAGACTTGCCTGAACATCAATACATAGCAAAGACATACTTATAACATCAAAATCCACAATACTGTCAACATACAAATAGATGTACCTCTTTATGAAGAAATGACAATCTAGTGACATTCTTATCCTGCATGTGCCATGGCATGACCCTAAAAATTCCGGTTACGAGTTGACACACTGAATCGTGTCCATGGACTTTTCTATCTTGGCGGGAGACAGAGTGGGCATGGCAAAAGAGCTTGTAGCGGAGTCCACCATAATCTTGATAGGATATCAGAGGGACGACCCATCTGCATTCTGGGGTTAAAATGTATTATTCACAAGGTTAACAAGAAAAGAAATCATGAATTCAATATCCAGATAATATTACCATGGGGTCGGGTTGGACACAAATGAACAAATAAAAACATAACAAATTGCAACATATCACAAACTTTTTTTTTTTAGATCCAGACAAGAAAATCTTTGTTGCATATACCGTAACATAAATTATTATAGATGTAATAGTAATATTTAATGTTTATAGATCTTTTTAGTGTAAACTGTGGTATGTAGCACATATGACATACTTTTTCACATAGATTAGGATGATCAAACATCCTATAAAAATGGGACTATCCGTTTTTTCACAATCGTGCCCTGAGTCCCGAAAAAGTCTCTCGGAACACCTAAATTTTCCATTTCTAAAACCAAACATATTTTCAAATCACTAATTCTTCCTAATTTATAATATAACTTCAAGTTTCAAGTAATATTTTAGCTAGCTGTGCAGCCGGTGGCACTGGTGATGTGGGCTCCTGTGAAGCCTGCACTGTCAACGCCACCGCTCTGTCAACGCTGCGTAAACTACAGCATCCCTTCCATAGATCTTATATGTATAGCAAATAACATGAGACTTGAAGCCGTGGGAAGGGGGAAAGTAACTGAACAGTAGCCAATTTTGATTCCGCTACCGCTACGTGTCGATAAGAAGGAGGTTTTAACAATGGCTGGGACGACAGCCAAATATCCTCAATTTAAATCCTAGACTAGAGAAATTTAATTTGTTGTATTATGTTGTAAAATATGTATAAATAAATAAGTATTCATTGCCAAATTATTGTTTTCGTTCATAATATGGATCAATTAAATTACAAAAGTGAAGGTACATTTAAAAATATTTCTAGGTCTCATAATAGTTTAAAAGAGCATTTTTCAATAAACAGTTTCCATCAGAGGCCCCTGGACCCCTTATCAGCTGAAGGGTATCCCCCCAAACCCTCCTTGGGTGTGTTACGTTTTTTCCATTTCATGATTTGGTGACCCTAACATAGATCCAATTTTATGTCTACAACTGACACTTATTTAAATCATTGACAATTCTGTTGCTGCCCTCTCCAAAAGTGCCAAAACTACCTCTAAGATAGTGCTATTTTTTAATTTTATTCAGCTTTTTCTGTTTTTCGTTCGCTGACCAAGGCTTTCTGTCGACATGTTGGCTGTTTTGATGCGTTTGTTCTTTATTTTTTTCTGGTTTGACCATACTTTGCACTTCGATTTACGGTTCACTCATTTCCTTTTTTGCTAACCTGATTGCAGTCTCTCCCCTTATACTTATTACATTTTTAAATCAATGAAGAGTAAGTTAAGTTACAAATTCCATTGAGTTTGAGTTAAGAACTTAGGTTAGATTACATTCAAATTACAGAAGGTAGCATAATATCATATATATTTAATTTTTAAGGCCTAATGCTGAGGCCAAGTCTATTTTACCAAAAAAAAAAAAAAAAAAAAAGGCAACTTTGATTGTCATGTTATTAAATACAGAAATAGATATATTTAAAATAGAATTTAAAAAATCCATAAAATTGCAAAATCAGTATAAACAGCCACAACTTTGAGAGAGTGAAAAAGTTCAAATATGATGGAGCAACTATGAATTTCAAAAGGAAAATCAAGAAATGCCACGGTCACAGCTGTCCTGACTTTGACTACGACGGCCTCAAGTAGGTAGTTCGGTAAGATCCGGGAAGTGCCGAAAACCGGGTATCGTGATTTCGTTGTCAAAATGGCGACCTCCACTTTTTAATTTACAGAGAGTCACGTTGTTTACGACTTTTTAACTATATATAGCCCAGCATGTTAATTCTATTTCCGCCCACAACTTAGAGTAGACATGTTGTGTTATGATTAGACACTTGAGTCCCTCAAAAAATTTTGGGGCTTCACTTTGAAAATTGAAGGTAAAATAACGCAATTTTTACTCATTCATATTTTTTGTGTGGAAAGGAACCTTTCTTTGAATTTAAAGGACTATATAAATAATGGCATTAACTACAACATATCCAAGACCTGTTAATTTAGGCCCATCAGTTTG